CTTTTCTTGAAGTGCTTTCTCTTATGTGCATGAGATCCGCCTTTGTCATTTCTGCCAAAAAACTTTCCAAGTCTTTTCACTAGAAGCATGAAATTTTCATCTTCTTCCGGATTGTCTTCTTTTACCACTTCTTTTGAATCAATTTTTAAGGCAATGTTTTTGGACTTCTTTTCTAGATTCTCATGTTTTTCAAGTCTACCGAGTTCCGTTTCGTATTCTTGAAGCTTGCCGAATAATGTAGCGGAAGTCATTGCGGAGAGACTCTTCTTTTCCGAGATTGCCGTTACCTTTGGTTGCCATTCCCTAGTCAATGATCTAAGGATTTTCAAGTTGAGTTCATCATTTGACAGGGTTTTACCAAGAGCAATTAAGTGATTTGTCAAATGCACAAATCTCTTTTGTAAGTCAAGAATGGATTCTCCGGGCTGCATTCGAAATAGTTCATATTCTTGACTCAAGGTATTTAGCCTTGATCTTTTTACTTCAGCCGTTCCTTCATGAGTTTGAACCAAGGTATCCCAAATTTCCTTTGCTGTTTTGCAGTTTGAGACACGGAAAAATTCGTCCATACTGAGAGCACCTTGAAGAAGGTTTATTGCCTTTTTGTCATAGAGAACTTTCTTTTTATCATCGTCGTCCCATACAGTTTTGGGCTTTGCAGACCCAACGCCATTGATTACCGTTATTGGGATAAATGGACCATTTTCAACAGCATCCCATACTTCCTCTCCTTGTGCTTCTAAATGCGCCTTCATGCGTATTTTCCAAAAGTCAAAATATTCACCACAAAATAGAGGAGGCTTGTTGTTACTACCACCATCTCTGAAAACTGGTTGATGATTTGCGGAAGCCATTCTGGATCTCTAGGAGCAGGTTACCTATAACCTGCTCTGATACCAATTGTAAGATTAAGATTGCGCCTAAGAGGGGGGGTGAATTAGGTGATGGTCGATTTTTGACTTATTTTATACTTTCTGGTTTTGATATAGTGCTTTGAAAACTGTAAAGTGCAGAAAGTAAAGAGACACGGAGAATTATCCTGGTTCCTTCCACAACCCGGAAGTACGTCCAGTCCCCTTGCAAACACGCAAGAGATTTTACTATATTGTTAGAACTTTTACAAGACTCTTCCTAGTCTTATCCACTAAAGAACCTAACAAATAACCAAGAACACCCTCTTGGATTTCCAATAAGTCTAATGAGAACAATCCTCTCAAAAGATACCTCTTGTTTCCAACAATGGACAACAAGGAACAATAAATAATCTAATACTTAATTCCAACAATCCTGGAAATAAGTTACACTTTGTATGTTTTTATGAAGTATGATTTCTTGAAAGATGTTGATCACTTAGAGTGACTTCTTTGAAGTTTCTTCTTTCTTCTCTTGTAAGCAATTCAAACTGTAACACAATGGTTAGATAATGCTCAAAGATTTCCGTTCTTTATATGTGTGAAAGTGCAGAAAATCTTTGTTCTTAAAAGTTAAGAAATATGAAGTTTGAATATATTACAAAGTTCAGATTTTATTGCAAGAGAAGAGATGTTTATGATTTGAAATATTTTGTAATATATAGCAATCAAGATACCTTTCCAAAAGGACACTTTTCTGTTTGTAAAACTTGACAAGATGCAATGTTTGATCATGCAACCATTGGAGAAAAGGTATGAAGGATATCTTGAAACCATTTCAGATTTTTCAAAATTTTCAATGTGCAAATCGATTAACATAACATGCAAATCGATTGCACGTGTTTGTAACGTTCAGAATTTCAAAAAGTTTGAAGTGTAAATCGATTAGCATGTAGTGTCAATCGATTTACAAGTGTTAAAAAATCAGTTTGTTCTGTGATCAATCGATTTACACAACCTGTAAATCGATTGCTGGCAGGAGCAAACAGTTTTTGAAAAAGCATGTGTAAATCGATTTACACAAGATGTTAATCGATTTACAGCAGAGAAAAACTTAAAAATTGTTTTTGAAATATACTTGAAGTGATGTGGCAAGTGTGTATATCATTTTTGAGCATTTCTAATCAATGTAGTTTAATTGAGAATTGATATACTTGATTGCTTGCCAAGTTCCTTGAAGCTTTCTTTAAGATGATTTCCACTTCTTTTCCTTCTTTCCATAATGCTTGTTTGTCTTTCATCAAACTAGCTTGTTTGTCTTTCATCAAAACTAAAGTTGAGTTGAGGCTTGAGATTACAGGTGATGCTTTATCTCACCCTGGCTGGAAACAAGCTATGCTTGATGAGATGTGTGCTCTTCAGAACAGTGGCACGTGTGACCTTGTTCCTCTTCCTCTTGGAAAATCTGTTGTAGGTTGCAGGTGGATTTTCACAGTCAAAGTTGGGCCTGATGGACAAGTTGATCGTCTCAAGGCACGTTTAGTGGCCAAAGGTTATACACAGTTGTTTGGCCTAGATTATGGTGACACCTTCTCTCCCGTGGCTAAAATGGCCTCGGTTCGATTATTTCTCTCTATGGCAGCTATTCGCCACTGGCCCCTTTACCAGCTTGACATCAAGAACGCATTCCTCCATGGTGATTTGTGTGAGGAAGTTTATATGGAGCAACCTCCTGGGTTTGTTGCTCAGGGGGAGTCTTCTGGACTAGTTTGTCGTCTTCATAAGTCTTTGTATGGACTTAAGCAATCTCCTAGGGCTTGGTTTGAGAGATTTAGCACTGTTATTCAAGAGTTTGGTATGCCGCGATGTGAAGCTGATCATTCAGTGTTTTATCGTCACTCAGTTGTTGGGTGTATTTACTTAATTGTGTATGTGGACGACATTGTCATTACAGGTAATGATCATCATGGAATCACACAGGTAAAACAACACCTTTGTCATCATTTCCAGACAAAAGACCTCGGCAGACTTCGTTATTTCTTGGGCATAGAGATTGCCCAATCCAAACAGGGAATTGTGATTTCACAAAGGAAGTATGCTATGGATATTTTGGAGGAGACATGTCTGTTAAATTCCAAGCCAGTTGACACTCCGATGGATCCCAATGCTAAACTTATGCCAGCTCAGGGGGAGCCACTCTCCGATCCTGGAAAATATAGAAGATTAGTTGGAAAACTGAATTACCTCACTGTTACTCGCCCAGATATTTCATTTCCTGTTAGTGTGGTAAGTCAATTTCTTAACTCTCCTTGTGAAGGGCATTGGGAAGCTGTGATTCGCATCTTGAAATATATTAAAGGAGCTCCAGGAAAAGGCTTACTCTATGAAGACAAGGGACACACTCGAGTTGTAGGATACTCAGATGCAGATTGGGCAGGTTCTCCTTTTGATAGGAGATCCACCTCAGGTTATTGTGTTTTCTTGGGTGGTAACTTAATTTCCTGGAAGAGTAAGAAACAAAGTGTAGTGGCAAGGTCAAGTGCGGAAGCAGAATATCGAGCCATGGCAACAACAACCTGTGAGCTTGTATGGCTTAAACAATTGCTTCACGACCTGAGATTCGGGGATGTTTCACAAATGACACTTATTTGTGACAATCAGGCAGCTCTGCATATTGCATCAAATCCAGTGTTCCATGAGAGAACCAAACACATTGAGATTGATTGTCATTTCATCAGAGAGAAGATTTTATCTAGAGATGTCAGCACTAGTTTTGTCAATTCAAATGATCAGTTAGCTGACGTTTTCACTAAGCCTTTGAGAGGTCCTCGAATTAATTATATTTGTAACAAGCTTGGTGCATATGATATATATGCTCCAGCTTGAGGGGGAGTGTTAGATATCGGAATATTCCATATTATGTAAATAGAATATTCTGTAAGTAATTAGGATATCATGTAAATAGGAAATAAAATATTATGGAATTATTATAGAATATTATGTAATTACTATGGCATTTATGCCTCCTATTATATATAATGAGCTCCGATGTGTAATTTAAACACACGGATTCAATCCAACCTTCCTCTTGTTCTCTCATTATTCAACAGACATCATATCTATGATGTACCATATATCACTTATCCACGTGGTACCTTACCACTTTCCGTATTACACTTAAGTGCATCGTACCTTACGGTGTTCCTTATTTATTCTATCTCTCATTAACCTGTCCTTATGTGTGTGACCCTGTAGGTTTTCGCGACGTTGGCAATTATATTAAATCACACATTTAATATAATAAACAGTGAGCGGTATCTAGCAACACATCACTGTTACCCAAGTCACGAAAATGTCATGTGATCTGACCAAACCTTTTCCGTGATAATATTTGTGTTGTACAATTACCCTTTTGCCCTCATGTCTATATTGAACACAAGGCATACACTGTGTCACCCTTGTCCAGTTCAATATTGGGCCCTTAGACATTTATCCTGTTATGCAGGATGAGCAAATTCCATCTAGGTCACTCATGTCCCTTAGCATGCTTTGTGAAGTACCCATCAACCGTCTTTATAGTCATCCAGTTACGGATGACGTTTGATCAGCAATAAAGTACTTGACTCTACATCTAGGGTCCATAGTGGTTTCAGGTCGAAGGGTGGTATACACCATTATCATCATGAGAATAACTTATGACACTTTGCATAACATTCTATGTAGTATTCTCATAGCGGGTCAATCCAGTATAAATATTACTCCTAATATTCATACCTATGTCAAGACTTGATAACTCCTTATCTATGATCCATGAGATGTGATCATCAATCTATCTTCATAATAATCTTAATGCTTTAATGTTATCCCACTTCACATTAAAACTTGACTACGGATACTTTAAGAATAGTGTCTTATGTTTTAATGAGATCTCATGATTAAGTCACACTTAACATTTCATTAAACAAATAAACCATTCTAGGGACTTTATTATTTTGGAAAGCAAACATAATAAAGAAATGCCTTTTATTATTAATAAATAATTCGATACAAGTACCAAAAGTATTGGCCTCTAGGACTTACACCAACAAAAACAACACATATAAATTTACATGAATTCAAACCAGTAAACCATGGATCATGTACTTACTTTCAACAAATTGAAATTAAGCTTTCAACATAACCTTGTGCTAGGCTCAAGTATAACGAATTGTGAGTTTTATCATCAATAATAGTTTTGTGCACCTTAACTTCTATCCGCTGCATACTATTATCTCTCAAATTATAAAGAATTGCTACCTCATTTTGAGAACTGCACAATACCAATGTATCACCGTCCTTAGAAAGAAACAACGGCAAGAAAGAAATATCATGGTCTAATCCAACAATGTGATTACTAATATTAAGAAATTGAATCCAAGACTCTTCAACACCAAATTTGTTCATCTGCCATATAACAATACCGGTTTCCTTATAAGAACAACACAAACAAAGGCATCCCTTCAACACAGCAATAGTTGGCTCTTCAGGCGGCAGCTCATCAAAACCCTGAGGCAGCCGATACTGATTGTATGTCTCCGTCCTCAGATCTAGCGAAACAATAACAATGTCCTCAACAGTAATGTCATTTACATAATAACTCCAATTGAACCTAACCCGCTTGCGAATAGCCAACCAGTTAAAACTGGTATGTAAAAACACACAACCATATTCATATCCCTTATCTAAATGTTGTCCACGCCAACCCAAACCAAGAGGTACAACTGGGAAATAGTGAATATTTCGCCAAACATTATCACCAATAGTCAAAACTTTCACTACCCTTTTCATATAACTATTATGAATATAGCGCGACGCAACCACTTTAAACGTGCACGTGGAATCATCCCAACCAAAATTGAAGACGAAACCGCGTGAATCACGAAAATAACCAATTTTCTGAGATATTTTTCTAGTGGATGGGTTCCATAATCGCAAGCAGTAGTCTTGATATATAATATCCCTATTAGAGAAGAACTTAGAGGATATGGAATTATAACCAACGAGACAGATCAATCCATTGCAGGAACCAGCCATAGACCATTCTTTATCCTTTAAATTCAAAAGATAATAAGAATCAGCAACAAATGTATCCGACGGATTATCGATTAAACGACTTACAGGGTACGGAATGATACTCCAATCACTGTCCACACTAGGCTTCACGTGATTACTGATCAATGTAAATTGAGGATTTGGCGAGGTTTTTGATTTCATGAGGTGAATTTTCTCAAAAGTAGGATCGGAAATGAGAGTGTTCCAAGAATTACTTACGCATTTGAATCGGAGGAGAGATTTTACGGGAAGTGACGGAAGGATCTGGGGGGTGAGATCGTCGGGTATGAACACCGGCGACGACGGACTCTTCGACATGACTGATTTTGTATCCTTTGTAGGTCAAGTGATTTTCTATAGACCGATATCTTATTGTTCTATCTTATTCTGCCTTATATATCATGTAAAAGTAGTTCAATTCAAAGGATAACACATGACAGTGTAAATTCAGGTCAAAATTAAGATTTATAGTTAGTAAAATCAAACCTTTCTTCTATTAATCACTAAAAAAAATCTTAACTTTTTTTTTTCATTAACTATTTAAATCTATTTTGTTGCCTTTAAACCCATTTGTCCTTTTTTAAACTATTTTTCTTAAATTAAAAATCATATAAAAAATATTAACAAAATGAAATTTATATTCTTTTCTTTTTTTATTAGTTTTTTTTTTGTCAATATATACAAAAATAAAAGGCAAATGGACAACAAGCTGCGCCGCTACTTCTTTTTGAATCGCAAAACCAATCCTCTTAAAAACTATATTGATAGATCTAAGAGATACAATATTGTCATTCATAAGTCTTTGAACTCTCTGTAAAAGATCAACCGCTTCGGGTGCTAGGAAACCAAAAGTGTCAAAGGCAAATGGTATAAAAACATGTTGATTTTTAGAACACGCTTTTTCATGTTTGACCACTTTACTGAAAGCAGCTTTGAGAGTTGTCTGTCCCACATTAAAACCACCATCCCTCAAAATCACTAGTGGAGAAACTTCTGCCATGTTCACACAAACATGTTTCCCTCATACCCACCCGCACACTAAAACATCTGCTGGACTAAGTGTCGATCTCCCCTCAAAGGGGTCAGTAAAAAAAATCACAGGTGCCACTTTCTTCACAGATACTTCGGCACGTCGGAATATATCAAACAAGACATCTCTAGCAAGGTCATGTCGGTATTTGAGCATGGAATCTCCCTATAATGAATCGTGTGTTCGCCAAATGTATCCAAACATGCCTTACGACAAACAGGGCAAACCTCATCAATAGGAAATAAATGAATCATAAGGCGATATCTTAGGATAATACGATACTCCACCGGTGACATATGTTAGCCCATCAATAGGAATAGCAAGGAGAAAGTCATGGGCATGTGCGGCTTGCAAACAACCAAAAATTGCCTTCTGCCTTGAAGTCATGTCAAACTTCACATCCATGTCCTTAATTTTTTTACTAAAAAGAGCACTCGCCAAAATATATTGTGCTTTAGGAGGAACAGTGTCTTACTAGTAAAATTGCTAAAGTCAAAATCTGGAATCACAATACAAAGACCATCTAAAGCTTTGTCAAAATCGAGTCCATATCATACACCCCATTGTGTCTCAATATGTGATCCCGCAACACCCAAAATTGGGCCCTACAAGCCAGAAAAGCGTATGAGGAAGCCTCTACAGCTGAGTACAAACCCAAACCCCAAACTCTAATGGGTAATGAAGTCACCCTTCATTGAAGGTCCCAGAAGAAAGGACCTCCACCAACCACGATGTCTTCAATCGCCTTCCGCAAATCTTTATCAAACCAAACAGTTGCTTCCTCCATATGAGTAGGTTGACACATTCTTAGGCCAAAAAACAATTTGGCAATACCAATGCAGGATCGAAGTAGAAGAAGCTCACTCTGAGGATCCCTTAATTATGGTAGAAGATGCATTAAATCAATAGCCTTAGAAGCTCTCTTCTTGGACAACTCCTTAATGAAACTGTCATCCCGACTAACAATCCCTCCAAGCAACTTCATCCTTAACATCGGCCTCCCAATTTCTGACGAGAACATACCCTCACGAAGTTTACTACCATCACATGAAGGCCAAAATATCCGAGTCTTACAAATATCAAGATACCAGACATGAAGAAGAAACTTATAATTGTCCCTAACTTGATGAATGAGTGGGTGTAACACAAGAGCAAAAAGGAGCGGTCCTAACGAGTCACCTTGTTGCACTCCAGTGACTGACATAATATATCCATCCCCAAGGTGCAACCTTGCTGCTTGGCCATAAAGAAACTCAACCCACAAAGAAATAGATGGGCATCTCACCCTCACCTCATGCAATAAGGCTGATCGGTCTACCATGTTTGAAAGCATTCAAGAAATCTAGTGAGCATAGCCAAGGAACTGTCTCTGTGTCGCTTTCTTAACACCATGTTGGCGTTATGCAAAATGGCCTCAGCACCACCCGATACACCATCCCCAACCTGAAATTCATTGAGGTATCGTGCCATATCTTTGTCGACCCCTTTCATATCAACCTTGGATACCAACCGTCTCCAAATAGAACCCACAATAATTGGTTGTATCCTACCATTAGGCTTTAATAATGGTGTCAATGGTGCAGAGACAACAAACTCCGCCAAACTCATGGGACATCTTCCTCCTTGCCATAAGTTGACAACTAGAGTAATTGCGTATAAAAGATCTTTTTCCACAGTAGAACCTTCTCTACACAGTGCATCTAAAATATGTTGAGCACCCAAACCATCTCTACCATATGACGTCCCATTGAGAAATGATTTAATACACTTGAAGATAATATCCACATCAGTCATCAGGGGAGCTTCTAAGAATAAGGTGGTCGGCATGTAGGGAGGTGGTTCGTACGGGTGCTTAGCCTCCAAAGCCTTCATTGTATGTTCATTATAGGGGGTCACGCCGGATGACCCTAACACTTTTACAGTCGTTGTGAAATGGCCATCTGCAATATTGCGGAGGCATTGGTTGACATTAGAGCTCATCTTCTTATCTTTCTCTTGAGTATGAACACCCCCACAACCGGAGTTACCTTGCTCTGAGCTTCCCAACACACTATCAACTAACTTGGCAAGACCATCCGCGTCTCTCCATATAGCTAAACACTTCAAAATATAGTGTTGGTGAAAGGACTTTCTATTTTCAGACCTACGATCCCGCCTATTCTGAGGCTTAACTACCTGTAGTATACCATGATGGAGAAGTAACAACTGAACCCATGCACCTACTAATCCGGGATCAACAACTATCTTGTAAAGAGTATCTTTCAATGTTTGAGAGAAAGCAAGACGACATCTTAGAGGTATACTCTTCACAATGAAGATAGGTGCGGTAAGAACTCTCTCTAACAACCTTGCATCCAAAACAAGCTCCTCGTTTGCTTCTAGGTTGTCAAAGTCAATTGTGGATGGTTTAACAATACCCACAATGTGACTTCTGATCCCTCATGTCCCATGAGTAGCACGAACAAGACCATCAGGATGATGACATGCCCGACTCATGACATGAATACTCATACACTTTCCACATAGCCATTGTTCAACCACCCTCAAAGACTCATCCAATACCATAAATAGATCACAATCATTCTCGATCGCATTTCGTAAATAATTCTTTTTAGCTTTTTAGTAATATATTTGTAGGAATTAAAAATAATTCACGATCAATATAAACTAATTTTACATCATCATTAAATATAATTATAACATTTAATTATATCATATCAATATCTTAAAATTAAAAATATAATTTAATGAAATATATGCCTCTAATTAATTGATAATATAAAAATATCTTGGAGTGTCACGTACTCTTTTTCTCTCTCTTGCTAATTAACCAAAAAAATCCTAACTTTTCTTTAAGGAATTATTTAAACCCATATTTTTCTTCTATTATTCATTTTAGTTGAAAATTATAAATAAATAAAAAAGTTAATGAAATAAAACCCATGTTTATCCTTTTTCTATTGATTTTTTTACTTTTTCTAAACAATAAATTTTCATATAATTTTTTTATTTAACAAAATTTATATAAAAGTATTTAACAAAAATGAAACCCACTTTTTAAATTCTCTATATTTTTTCTTAAATATATATAAATAAATAAAAAAGTTAATGAAATAAAACCCATGTTTATCCTTTTTCTATTGATTCTTTTTACTTTTTCTAAACAATAAATTTTCATATAATTTTTTTATTTAACAAAATTTATATAAAAGTATTTAACAAAAATGAAACCCACTTTTTAAATTCTCTATATTTTTTCTTAAATATATATAAATAAATAAAAAAGTTAATGAAATAAAACCCATGTTTATCCTTTTTCTATTGATTCTTTTTACTTTTTCTAAACAATAAATTTTTATATTATTTTTTTATTTAACAAAATTTATATAAAAGTATTTAACAAAAATGAAACTCACTTTTTAAATTCTCTATATTTTTTCTTTTATATATATATATATATATATATATATATATATATATATATATATATATATATATATATATATATATATATATATATATATATATATATATATATATATTAATTCTCTAAATTATGTGATTGATATTAAATTTGATAAATATCATTCCTAATAAAATAATGTCTCTCCCATAATAGCCACCTATTATTGGATCATGTAACCAATGAAATATTGTCTGTTTGAGGATAATATCATTCCCAATAACCAATTTGTAAAATCAAGCTTCTCAAATGCACTTTTGTTTTGATGAAGACAAACCATGATTGACAAAGAAGGCAAAGATTATTAATCAAGCTAAAAACATTTGTGGATAAAGTCTTCAGTTCAAGCACTTAGAAAAATTTCAAGGTATAATGATAATACTTACTTTGAACTTAAGACATAGATGCTCAATAGTCAAAAGAAATATTTTATATTGTTCAAATCCTTACTCAAGTTTTTCTAAACTAAAAATTATTTTTCACTTGAGTGCAATCGATTTACCTATTAGTGCAATCGATTGGATGCTTCAATTTTTCAAATCTTTTGCTACTGTTTCTAAATGTAATCGATTTGCATGTTTGTGCAATCGATTGCACTCAATCAATTTTTGCTACTGAATTCACATGCAATCGGTTTACATTCTTGTGCAATCAATTGCACACTCAAAATATTTGAAATTCTAGCTGTTGAAACCTCGTGCAATCGATTTACACAAAGGATGCAATCAATTGCATGCTGCACGATTTTGAAAAACAACAGCTTTATACATACCTGTTCATAACACCAATTCATGGAAACCTTTCATTCAATCTTGGCAATTGTTC